AGATTGATGTCTCTCTCTCTCTCTCTCTCAGATAATTCACACACAAGACAGACTTTCCACGAGCTGACATGGGAATTAGAGTCAGTCGTTCTACACACACGCCAGTTTGCAGAATAAAGTACCTGAAATCTGCAAATATAGTTGTCATCTCCATACAGACTGCGAAAATGGTTAACAGGACTCATTTTTGGACTCCTTGAAGTAAAAGCAACACTCAAATTTACCAAAGCCTTAACCTTGTCAGGCCTGTACAAGCACAAGTGCCAGGCCATGTAAGCACCCCAGTCATGCCCAACAACAAAAACCTTATCTGCTTCAGGCGCAATGGCATCAAGCAGAGCAATCAGGTCACCCACTATGTGAAGACTAGTGAATTTTGATGGGTCCTCAACTGGTGCACCAGTGGTGTCACCATAACCCCTCAAGTCTGGCGCCACAGCCCTGTATCCTTGAGCCGCCAGGTACAGAATTTGGTGCCGCCATGAGTACCAAAGCTCCGGGAAGCCATGTAGGAAAAGGACTAACGGCCCCTCACCAAGCTCGGCTACGTGCATATTCAGGCCATTAACTGGTACGATCTTGTGCTCTATTTTTTCCATCTTCTCTCTCTCTATCTCTGCTTGTGGGTATAAATGATTATCAATGGGAACAAAAACTACAAGAATTGGTGCATTTAATCTCGTCCAAAGATTCAACTTCTGAAGAAGAGATAAGAAACAATCATGTTATGGTGACATATGCTCTGACATAACGTAAAATCTCCATAATTTAAGAGTGAATAATGCTGGTTGTACCTGTTAGAATGAGCTGGCAAAAGAAAGGGGCGGTCAATTTTTGGGTCATTAACGGGTCACTATTGTTTTGAATTAGGCCCAATATAGTAAATAAGGGTCCACTTCCTCATTTTACAGTCAGACAATGGAGGCGCCAAATACGCATATGTTCCCCGAATTTCCCCCCAAAATATTCCCCAAAATGGCAGACAAAAGTAATGGGTAGTTTGTAATTATGTCAAAAGTGCTTATTTCCTTAATGGGTAGTTTGTAATGGGTATAAATTCTTTCTATAATTTGTTCATCCTGTATATTGGTTTATTTGGACGGCTAAATTTGATTGATGAAGGAAAAAGAAATTAGTAAACTGTAGTGGACAAGAAAATGGTCCAAGAAAATTTTCCAAGTCAACAAACAACAACAAGAACAAAAGGAAATATTAAAAGCACATTTAAGGACAAAGAATCTTTGTTTTGCATTACTGTTCTCAGTTGTGGACCATTTGAATATTACTAGATGTGTAGGGGTGCTTTTTATGACATTAGCATTAACATTGTAACTGATTTTATGTTGCAGGGAAAGCTCTGTTAGATGATGTGGATAATATTATTTTGATAGAATCTGATTCTGAGAATGTTGTGGAAATTGTGAACATGTTGGGTGATGAAATCGTAGCAAGAGATGGTGTGCGTGTGCCGGAGGTTGGATTGAAGTTCAATGACGAAAATGAATTATTTGATTACTACAAAAAATATGCATACGCCGAAGGTTTTCCCGTTAGAAAAAGAAATTCAAAAAAGGATGACGACGGTGTTGTGAGATATGTCACATTGACATGTAGTCGCGAAGGAAAAAGAATCGGTACTACAAGCGGTTCTTTGAAACCGCAACCAACCATTCAGACAGGTTGTAAAGCGAGGCTGACCGCATCTATGGATAGTCGTGGAATATGGAGAATTAACACAGTAAACCTCGAGCATAATCATAAAACAAGTCCATCGAAATCGAGGTTATATCGGTGCAATCGAGAGTTGAGCGCACAGGTTAAACGGCGACTAGAAGTTAATGATATGGCAGGAATTCCCTTACACAAAAGTTTCAACTCCGCAGTAGTGGAAGCAGGTGGATACGAAAATATGACGTGCATGGAGAAGGATTGTCGAAACTATGTTGAACAAGTTCGGCGCTTGAGACTCGGAGAAGGAGACGCCGCAGCAATACAATCCTACTTTTCCAAAATGCAAGCTAGTTGCTCCGGGTTTTATTGTAGTATGGATTTGGACGAAGATTCGAGGCTGAAGAATGTGTTTTGGGCAGACAATAGGAGTAGACAAGCTTATAAGGAGTTTAGTGATGTTGTTACATTCGATACCACGTACCTCACGAATAAGTATGACATGCCGTTTGCTCCTTTTGTTGGTATTAATCATCACGGACAATCGACCTTACTCGGATGTGGGCTCCTGTCGAATGAGGATATAGATACATTTGTTTGGCTGTTTAAGACATGGCTACAGTGTATGCATGGTGAAGCCCCCCAGGGTATAATTACCGATCAGGACAGAGCTATGCAGAATGCAATTGAAATTGTGTTTCCCTTTACGAAGCATAGATGGTGTTTGTGGCACATACTGAAAAAGTTGCCTGAGAAGTTTGGATACCACGTGGATAAGGCTTCGATTTTCCATTCTTTACACGGTTTGGTATACGATTCACAATTTATTCAAGATTTTGAAGAAGGTTGGAGGGTAATGATCGACACATATGATTTGCATGATAATGCCTGGTTGGCGGGACTTTATGAGAACAGATCTCGGTGGGTTCCGTGCTACTTCAAAACCAGTTTCTGGGCCGAGATGTCGACAACTCAACGGAGTGAGAGTATGAACGCGTTTTTTGATGGGTATGTGCATTCAAAGACCTCACTAAAGCAATTTGTTGAACAATATGAACGAGCTTTGAAGAATAAGGTTGAGAAGGAGATTCAAGCAGATTTCAAGTCCTTCTCACAAATGGTTCCATGTGCAACGAAGTATGAACTGAAGAAGCAATTTCAAGCTGTTTACACCATTTCAAAGTTTCGAGAAGTTCAAGAAGAGTTTACTGGGAAGCTTTATTGTGACCTGACATCTATTTCAGAGGAAAATATGGGAACGACATACGAGGTGTGTGAGGAAGAGATTAATGATGAACGATCAAAGAAAAAAACGTTTGTCGTCTCGTTTAATGAAGAAGATTGTGAAATTGTTTGTAGCTGCCATTTGTTCGAATTTCGAGGAATAATATGCAGGCACATGATCATAGTATTGATCCGTAATGGGGTCAAACAACTACCGAACAAGTATATATTAAGGAGGTGGAGGAGAGATGTGAGTAGGGCATACACGAGGGTCGCAGTTCACTACGATGGTTTGATTAGTACCCCGGGACAGTTGAGGTATGAGAGATTATGTCAGTCTTTCGCTACACTGGCCGACCTAGTCGCTGACGATGAAAGCAGAGCTGAAACCATACAAAAGTGGATCGACCATGAATGTCAACTGGCAAGGAGCTCGAAATCTAGTGTTATGAGTAATGTCATGTCTCCTCATGGAACACAGATTGCCTCAAAATGTGGACCATCATTGGAAACTGTCCATAGTGGAATACGTGATCCTACATGTGCGAAGAGAAAGGGCGCGCCAAAGAAACTTCATAAGAAGAGCCCGTTGGAATCTAGTTCGAATAAAGCAAAGGTAAATTTCAGGTTTATATTACCAATTGTGTTTGGGATGTTTACTTACTCAATGTAACTAACATGTTGGGATGTCATGTAGGGGAGTTCAATTACGTCCAAAGGAAGTAGGCCGAAGGCACGACCATGTACTGTTGGCGTTGATGCACACATCGTTCAAGTACCTCAACCTTCACAACATGGCATGACTACACCGTTAACGTCTACACAACTCCTAATGATTAGTATATGTTTATGATGATGTTATCTTCATATGAACATATTTATAACAAACAAAATTTGTCAAACTTGAAGGGTGACGGTCAAAGTGTTGCATTCGCACAAGGAAGTTTTTTACCTCCGTCTGGCAATTATGCTCACTTCTATGGTCAAGGTAATTGTCATGTTACCGTCCATTTAATCCAACCACTATTAATTGTCATCATGTGAAGTCCAATTCCAGCATAACAATTTTTTACTCTTCTTTTGACAAAGTCTTTACTCTTTAGCTTAGGTTGTTATTTTATTAAATGGGGTTAGTGGTGTTCAGTTAGTAGGTGAACATGATTGTAGTGGGTCTAGATTTATTTGTTGGGTAGTTATTATTTGAGTTGTATTTAAAGTCCTTTTACTTTATCAATGAAGCATCATCCCTTCAACATTGTAATTATGTGATTAAACATTGTACATACAAAGTGCACCATCCCTTAACTTTCTTATTTGGACATTAATAACCAAATTGTACAGATTTTCAGGCAATGCCGTGCTTCTACCCAAGCTTACCGGACCAAGATGGAGGAACCCAATGATTGCTTCACAACATGGATTTAGGCACGGAATGAATGTTGATAGTGATATGTAGATGTAGTAGAAATTAAGTGTTGACTGGAATTGTAGTTGGAAACTTGTAGATGAATTGTAGTGTTGACTGAAAATTAATGTAGTAGAATGAACGTAGTAGTGATATGTTCACCAAATATTCACTTTAATTTTGATGTCTTTATTGTGACTTTAATGATGTTATACCGTTGACGTATGCATTTCAATCTTGATTATATTACCAACTGAGAGGGATTTATTCTTCTAGGATTAACAGTCATTGCACCAATAAAACAAAGGTTATGTTGCACAAATTAAGGCATTATAATTGACAATAAAATACCACTTCATAAGTGCAATGACATTAACTCTTACTGAATAAGTTCATATGCGTTGTACATCAACATTTAATACAAATGAAATTACATTAATTTGACAACATCGTTTGCTTCTTCCAGACTTTATCATTTGCTGCAACCTTGTTGATTTGCTGATAATGATGCCGAGTCCAACTTTAGAGTCCTCGATTCATCTAGGGGTGCTTTCATTTCTGCTATTGCAATTTCAATGACACTTTGACTAATTGAGTTCTTTGCTTGCATCTGAGAATGCTACCACTTGCCTTTCTTTAGATTCAACTTTCTCCTACAACTCCACTGCTTCCCAATTCATTACACACAACAACGTCCAACAACTCCATAACTTCCTGCACTGTTCAACCTTCACATTTCTCAACAATTGAACCCCTATTACCCACACAAGACACTAAGTCAACAAAATGGCTCAACCGAATTCAAAAATGCAAAAATCACATACACTGAATTTCAAGAACACCTCAACTTTATTAATCTACCTTGAAAAGCATACGCAGTGGGTTGCAACTGAAAATTCATCTTTTGGGTTGCAACTGAAAATTCGAAAAGTTGAAAATTTGGCAGAATGTATGTAAATCCACACACAGACGGCAGCTTCGACATACCCATGTCAACCACATATCACACTCATCTGATTTTGGCCGCAACCTTCACCGGAGAAGACGGTGGTTGTGGATTTGAATGACGAAAAAACAATGGAACGCCTTGAGGACAAAAAACCTGACCAAACACCTTCCAAGAGATGGATGAAGATGGGACGGAGAGACTATGGAGTCACTCGCCTTCGATTCGCAGACGATAGCCTTCGATTCGCCGGCAGTCGCCTCGATTTGCCGTCGCTCTCTCAAGGGCTATTGATTTGGGGAAATGATACGAAATGGGTTATGAGATTAATGTCAACTGGGCCGGGTTGTTGGGTTGGGTTGCATTAAGCTGTGCCCGTCTTTTTTTTAATTTTTTTTTATTTTCCACCTCACTCTGTCATCTTCTTCTGTCATCTGCTTCTGTACAAGCAGCGCGATTGTTTAAGAGTTTGTTTGTCTTCCATTATGTGAGAATGAATGATGTTTTGAATAGTATTTTTTGGAGAATGTGTGATTAAAATTGAAAGAAATTTTATTGGTTTATGTGTAGAATATTTTATTATTTGAATGTGTGGTGGAGATTGATTACTGTAGAAAACAATGTTTTGAAAAATGGTAGACAAACAGGGGCTAAGTGATTACCAAGACATCAATATTTTGAAATCTAA